CTAATTAGATTGTACTTGAAAGATGTAATTATTGCTGCAACCCAAGGAAATAATTAATGGCCAATTTTAGTGGGCAAAATATTCATTAATCAAGTCAACAGACATGAGACCTGCAGAGTTTAGGAAAAAGGTCTGTAGAGAGAAGTAAAAAAAGATAATCACCTGAGATTTCTCCTTTCCATAAGTATAGGTTAAATCTATTCAATTACTGTCTTCTGCAAGTTTACATTTCGGATTTAGTCCAATGACCCTAATGAAGCCTAGATTTAAACTTTTGAGTTTTAGAATATATTGAACAACAGAATTAAACTGTTTGATCATTTTATTGCACAAAAAGGAAGGGATAAGGAGAAGATAACATGAGTCCCATACTTGCTCTGTTTAAAGTGTTCCTTCACTCAAGGGTTTCTGTATACTACAAATGTCAGTGTCTGGTTTCTTGTATTACAGGCAGGGAGGAAGAAGGTGTCATGATGAGAACACCATCGAGCTTGGTGGATGTTTACACCATCTTCGACCCTTATAAACACATAGCCCTTCAAATCTGAGGGTGAGAGGTCATTTTAAGTTCTTCTAACACCTTGGTAATCAGAGCCCAGGGAAATATTTGCCAAAAAAACAACACAGTGATCCAGAGATCAGATGAAACCCACACCTACTATTAAAAGATCCTGCAATCCCAAAGAGCATGGCCCCTCATAAAAAATGATAAACAAACCCCTCCAGCTCTCCCCACAGCCCTTCTTCTCAATGTTCTTTTATAACATTCATGTTCTTAGATTCATGTCAACTATCTATTCCTAGATGGGTCTCCCCATTACATTATAAGGGGTTTAAGGGACAGGAGATGGGTCACAGAAGGCAGCAAACATGACCGACAGTCGAGTTTATTTTTTAAGCCCCAAAATATTTCCATGTTTTCATTTAACTTAAAATGCTAACAATCATATTCTAGCCTCGGCATGCCCATAAAGTTGTTTCACAGTCCAGGAAAAAAAAATTTAAGTAATGTTCACCATCCACATCTTAACAGTCTGGATGCTGAAGCATTTTTCATTCAGAGTAATGATCTCCAGGAGTAAAAATAATATAATTATAACCGAACTACTTGGTCAGCTAAATCACAACCAGAAATGCACTGGTATGTATTTCATTCACTGTGTCAAAAATCTTCATTCTGAACCATCAACATAGCACTAAATTTTGATCTGTCATTGAAAACAGGTCGCTTCTATTTCTGGCTTACGGCATGGTAACAGGGTACAGCAATTGGCAAAGACAGCTAATATTTCACATTAAATCTCCCCACCTGACCTTCTGAATCAAAAATGGAAAGACTCGTGAATAAGGAATTATTTATTATGTAAACACTCCCCTTGCTTTAAAAAAAAAAACACCCAAAGCCTTCTTAATCAAAGCATAGAAAGAAAGAACCAAAATTCTTGGGGAGCAAATCTGTTGTTGAGAAGATGGCCACTGAAGGCCACTGCAAGGTGTGAGCTGCACCCTTGGGCTGTCTCCTCTTCAAGAAGGATAGGACAGAAGAAGGAGTTCTTAGCACGTAGGTAGTCTCTAAGACAAAGGCAGAATAGGACTTTCCAGAGGGAGGAGGAACTACAAAATCAAAGGGTGTGGCCTCACTGGCCCTCTGCTACCCATAGTAGCACTGAGGGTTGAGATGCAGATAGGATGAATTTGACACATTTTGGAAGAAAGTAACATTTTCTGAGCTGCTCTTCCATGACCTGTTTTGAAATCACTCATGGATCCATATTTAAATCATGTTTTTATCTTCCTTTTAGTTTACCTTTAAATAAAACTTTGAGAAAAGTTTTGCAGATACTTCCCCTCCTTCACTGGCAACCCAAGCCTGGGTAGAGTGACCCTCCCATGGGAGCCCTCTAGCAGGCCCATCTTCATGCTTACCACATAGCTTGAAACCTTTTGACGGTGACTGACTTTCTCTCCCCTAGGCCAGCGTTTCTCAGTCTGGGGAGGTTTATAAAGTAGTCAGTCACCACAGCCCCAGTGATCTTGATTTAACTGATCACTAAGTAGGTGCCTGGTATGCAACCCAATTGATTCTAATGTACAGCCTGGGCTGAGAACCACTGCCGTGTTAAGCTCCCTGAGGACAAGCCCTGTGGCTGTTTGCTTTTGAATCAAACTTAGCACAGAACCTGCTAGCTATATATTAATTGAATGAATAAAAGAATGTTGTCCAGTGATTGAAGAAGAAAGTGGGGGGGGGGGAACTGGGCGGGCATTCAGGATGGGTTATACATGAAGAGTATAAAAGAGCATCTCAAACTTGAGTGTGCATCAGAATCACCAGGAAGCCTGCTACAAGGCAGGTTAGGGGGATGGGGCCTGAGAATTTGCATTTCTAACAAGTTCCCAGGTGATGCTGGTGCTGCTAATCCCAGAACCCCACTTCCAGAACCAGGGCACTGAACTGGCCTAAGCAGCCTGGTAATAGATTAGGTGACACACAGTAACATGTGATAATCTGGGGCTGCAGGCATCTCTAACTAGGTGGCCAAGGACAGTAATTCTATCAGCGACATCACAAGGAGAGATTGCATGGGTCTTTAATCTTATCTGATTGCTGGCCACAGCCAGAACAGGGCTGAGGAAATCTTCCCTTTGGACTGTGATTCCAATTCAATCAGCAATCTTTCATTTTCATGGCTTAAGTATCTGAATCATCCGTCACATGTCTACTACCATTCAGAATTAAGATGTGGCTAGCAAGAATAACAGACTGCCATCAGCATCTAAATAAAAATTACAGTACATTTTCCTAGAAATAGGCCCAAGATCAAATTTTCCAAAAGCAACCAGTGGCAGACTTAGGCCAGATAACAAACCCATGGCTGCTTGTTAAATCAACTCAAGCACTAGATTCTACAGCTGTAAAAATACAGTGGTTTAAAATCCAAGCTTCTAATAGCCACCCAAATAGATGCTATATTAAAATGACTTGGGGGAAAATGCATGCTTTTCTTCAGCTATTGCCAGTTAAGAAATTTTTTTCATAAGAGACAAAGGAAAGGAATAAGGAAAACGTCAACTGCATTAGGTTGTTCTAAGAGGGCACTGGTTATTGGTTCTCACCAACATTCCAATCACACAAGTCACTGGAAGTGACACAAATGGCAAAGTGGGAGTAACCCAGGCTGGGGTTCTCTCTCCATTTCTAGTTATCTGTCCTATGAATTCTAGCCAGCAGTAATAAATCTGGGTGTCAGACAACTGAATGCCTTTGGGTTGTGAGACAATCTTTGAGGAGTTTCTGGAGCAGAAGTAAATGGGGAATTGTGTTCTTTGGAAAAAAAAGTACTCTCTTATTAGGTAGAGAGTAGCATACAGATAGTGGGCTCACCACAGGACAATGATCAAATCTTAGGTTTACACAGAGCAGGGGTTCCCAAGTGTGGCTCAGAAACTCCAGAAACTGTGTGTGTGGTTGGGGGAGGGGGGAAGGAGGCAAGGGAGGGGGAATTGCAACCTATATTTTAACAAACATCATGTTAAGTATTCTGGCACAGCCTAAGTTTGAGAACTACTGACCCAGAGCTTCAGAGTCCTCAAAACATCTTGGAGAAGCTTTTCTTACACAATTCCAACTTTGTGGGGAAGATAATATCCATTTTAGAAATTAGAGAACTGAACTGAGACAGCCAAGAGAAGCCTAAGGAGACATGATGACCAAATGTAACACGGAATCCTGGACCAGAAAAAGGACATTAGGGAAACATGAAGGAAATCTGAATAAAGTATAAACTTTAGTCAATAATGTATCAATTTAATTCATTCATTACAACAAATAGACCGTAATAATGGTAAGACATTAATAACAGGAAACACTGGTCATGGGACTATGTGAGAGCTTTGTAGTTCTGTAAATCTATAACTATTCTAAGATAAAACGTTTGTTGAAATCATTAGGGAACTGATGCTCTGAGATACCTGCTAAAGCAAGGTCATAGATACACAGTGGTGCTGTTGCATTATTTTCTGAATGTTTAAAATATTTTTGAAATATTTTGTAATTTAAAATATTTTATAATTTGAAACTATAAAAATTAAACATTGGTCAGACACAATGGTTCACACCTGTAAGCCTAGTACTTTGGGAGGCAGAGGTGGGAGGATTGTTTGAGCTCAGAAGTTCAAGACCAGCCTGGACAACATAGGGAGCCTTTTTCTCTACAAAAAAATCAAAATATTAATAGGGTGTGGTGGTGTGCACCTGTAGTCCCAGTTATTCGGGAGGCTGAGGCAGAAGGATTGCCTGAGCCCAGGAAGCCGAGGTTGTGGTGAGCTGAGATCATGCCACTGCACTCCAGTCTGGGTGACAGAGAGAGACCCCCATTCCAAAACAAAAAACATTAAACATACTCAAACAGCTTTTTTTCTTTTTCCCAAAAACAACTGGTGTGTGTTTGGACAAGGATACTGTATGTGAAGCACTGCCAGAAACACACCCTTATCTGACTAGTTGCTACAGATCCTTTTAGTGTGAGCCCTCTTGGCACTGCTAACTCTGTCACCATAATGGAGACCTGCCCCCCCCCAGGATTATCCCTGAAGGATAACTGTGAAGGAGGTGATCCCTCCTCCTCCTCAGGCTCTCTCCTCACATTCACCACAGGCCTCAACATTTCATCATACTTACATTTCCAGAGGGCTAGTCTCAGCTAGACCTCTTCTCATGGCAGCTGAGAGGTGATTTTGAGTGCTACTCCTCAAAATAGCAAGGGTATTTTAATGAGGACAGTACAGAGCCTCTGAGCCCCACAGGAGCATGCTGCATGGTGAAAGGCTGCCTAAACCTTCAGATCAGCCCCTTGGCCATTTACCTATGTCCTTCCTTTGCTGCAGACTAGACTGCATTTGGTCAAGGTCCATCCCCTTTGGCCCAGCGGCCTGTGACTCAGCAACACTTCCAAGGCCAGCCCCAGAACTCTTGATGTCACACAAAGTAATTTACTTACCACTTTCTCATGTTCCCCAACCTCCGAAAGAGTTCAAAGCAGGTGGTAAAATCTCCAGAATGGGGATCTAGGAGAAAGAGAGCTAAGAGGCCTAGACAACCCATAAACTGAATTTTAATCCCTGGAATAGTGGGACATTTATGGCTGCCCACATGTTCCTGAGACTGACTATTTTCACTCCACTGTTTTAATGCCAATACCAAGGAATGTGTGTGGCAGCCTGCCTTCCCCTGACACCTTTGCCTTGGGTATCACCTGGACCAAATGAGTGAGAATGAGGGCAGAGGGGCCAAGGGGACATCATTTGTGAGTTCGAAAAACAACACAAAGCTTACTGGTGTGTTTTCTAGACCAAACACGTCAATACCATGTACTGATTGCCAATTGGTTCCTCCTTGCCCTTACCTGTGCCGCTCTCTCATTTTTGACTGCTCTCCCTCCACCCCTCAGTAGAATCAAACCCAACCTCTTCCCCAAAGAGCCCACTGAAGTCCTATATGCAGCCTGAGGGTCCTCTGCTTTCTTTTACATCATTCATTCAACACCTCCTATGTGCCAGGTACTGGTCTAGGCATTAGAAAGATAGCAGTAACAAAACCCAGAAATCCCTTCTGTCATGGGGTTTACATGCTGGAAAGGGAAAGGGTCAATAAGCACAGGTGGAAACTCCTAGGAAGGAAAGTAGAAGGGAGGATAGAGAGTGACAGTTGTTCTGGCCCCTTCATTGGCACTTAGCATATGCCATTATTTTACATTATTGCCTCTTCAGCGAGATACTCAGGTCTTGAAGGACAGGGGCTGATTCGAGGTTTTTTAAAGGCATAGAATTGTGCATGCAGTAGCTGTTCAGCCCATTCTATTGAAGAAGGAACTGATATAAGGCAGCTGATTCACATTTTTAGAACTTCAGGCCTTCTGGGTGCAGAGGGGAGTAAGGAGATGAATTAGTCTGTGTGGAGTCACAGGTCACAGTGAGTCATCCATTCTGCACTCTTTATTGAGCAGCCATGTCCTGGGCAATGAGGGCAGCACATGACTCTCCAGTGAAATCCTGCCCTCAATACTTGTATATTTTGGTGAAAAAGATCCAAGGTAAATGATCGTAGCTATGCAGGAAATGGGCAGGGAGAGGAAAAGGAGAAAACACAAGGAGGTCGGGAAAGGCCTTGTGAGGAGGTGATGGTTCAGCCAAGTCCTAGATGGATGGGAAGGAGCCGGTGGGGCCAAGGGCAGGATGGGAGCAGGCTGGGACAGCAAGAGCAAGTTCTTGGAAGAGGTGTCTGCGAGGCAGAGGCCTGGAGGTGGGAATGTGCTGCATGTGCTATCGGTGTGGGGATGATGCTGGGTAAGGCGGGAGCCAGCCTTCACAATACCTGTGGGCCACCGTTGGGCGTGTGGGGTTTATTCTAAGTGCAATGGTTAGCACAAGGGGAGTCCAAGCAGGAGGGAACATGAGATTTATATTTTAAGATCACTCTGACAAGATCGCCCAGATTCAGAGTGACCACATGTCACAGTCTGTCAGGAATAATGCCATTTTATGCCTATTAGCCCAGCATAATTATTAATAGCACCCCATTTCACTCTCCAAAGTTTTGCAGATTAGGGGAAAAATGACACAGTCATCCTATCCAGAACCCATTATTATAACTAGTATGATTATGAAACCTGATCTTCTCTGTGCCAATCATCCCCCTCCAAATACAGCAGAAGCTGGATACAGCTATTCGAGAATGAAAACTTAAGCCTGTCCTCCAGCATCAGAATTATAAAAAGGTTCCACTGTATTCTGTTTCTTTTTTTTTTTTTAAGACAGGAAGAAGAGAAAATTCTACAAACCTCTCTCCATGATGTATCCCACATTTCACAGCTGCTGTAAGGGGAAAACTTTTCCACAGATCAAATCTAAAATGTTCATGGTTCAGTTGAAGTCTGTCCTCACTTGATATGGACAAAAAGGGCCAGTCATTGCTCTCTGTGCAGAGATACTGAGAGTCCTGTTCTCCAGGAAGCCTGCCAAAATCACCTCCAAGGAGCTCCAGGTTACATAACCCCTGTTGCTCTAACCTCTCCGCTCAGGTCTTATTTTTCAAATGTTTAGTCATCCTTGTGGCTCCTCTGCTTATCCATGCCAAGTTCTTCACACTAACACAGTACTTTTAAAGTTATATTCCAGAAGCCCTCTGCTATTTTCCCTACCAAATCTTTCCAGAAGCTTCAAATCTGTTCTCCTCTGCATCTAAGTCATAGGTCAGGAAACTGGAAACAGTCTTGATAGACCACGCTATACCTCCTGTCTTGCTTCCACCTGTCCTCCCTGGACCAGACCACCTAAAGAGAGGATTAAGCATAATCTTACTGCATCTGGGCTACAAAGAATGTATGGGTGGCAACCTCTGTCAGCCCGGATTATATCCCCTTCTCATATTCCATCTTAGAATCTCAGAATGTCAGGGCAAAAGTGACCTTAGCAACACTCTTTTCATTTAGTAGATTTATGAAGGCTGATCTCATGAATACCTCATAGAGGGGATGGAACGCTTGGCAGCCCCCACTCCCCCATCCACTCCTAGGAAGTTACCACCCTCTGATGGGCTTATATTGACCTGTCCATATGTATCATTTCCCACATCCCTTCTTTACTTTATATTTTTAAAGTCTTTGTATGATTCACAAGATATTGTTTTCCATGTAGCCAGGACTCCATGTAGATATCAGCTGAACAGATGCTTAAATGGATTTTTAAGGGTCTTCCTTGGTCTGTTTATAATACAGATATTTAAACAAGAGTAACACTACCGGGCTTTGAGTGGTCATAGGCTCTGGGGACAAACAGACTCAAGTCTAGATTCAGGTTATGTCACTAATTTGCTTGCCAGGAGTTGACTGACTACAGGAAAGGTATTTTATCTTTCTGAATCAGAAAAAATGGATACAGTATACCTACCTCTTTATGAGGGCAAAAAGGCTTAACTATGTTGTATGCAAAGTCTTCCCAGATACATGTTCTTTCCTAAGGAACATTTCCCCTTTTGCTTGCTTTGCTTAATTAATATGCATTCCAGTTTTATTCACTATAAGTTAAGCTTTTACCAAAAAAGAAAGAAAAATTCTAATAGTACTCTCTTTACCAGAGATTCCATTTTTTCCCTCATCCCGAACTACTTAAATCCCTCCTCCTTAGATAAGAGATAAACGATGCTGTAACTTACATAATTTTATGAATTGTTAAAGGAGAGTGCTGAGATAACACCAAAATGGGAGAATTCCAGCAGTGACTTGTGACATAGCAGGAGTTAGGAAAGTATTTAAGTTCAGAGAGAGAACTAAGAAAAGCCTTCTGATGAGGTGTGAGTCAATGGAAAGCTGCGCAGGAAAAATTAATAGGAAATGCAGTCTGGCGGGTGATGCCGCTGCATAAGGAAACAGGAGAGGCCAGCCAGCCAGCATCCTGCACCAGGATTTAGAAACCCAGGGAAGCATAGTTTTCAGTCTATGCCACCCAGGACTGATACCATACTGACATCTTGTGGTTGCACGTATCCTGACACTTAGGTGGCCCCATAGCAGACACTGACATACATATTAGTATTACAACCAGCACTTAACGTTGCAGCAATGAACTAACTTCAAACATTTTCTCTGCCACAAGCTCACTGTTTTCACACTGCGAAAGTGGAAGTGGGGGAAGGAAGCTGCCGCTGGGTCATGATGTTGGCATTTAGACTCCAACTGCACCAGCACTGGGGCCTCTGATAAACGTCCTGTGTTCAAGTACTTGTGCCTCTTGGCTGAGCACTTCTTATCAGGTACCCCGAGACTTTGGTAGGAGAGTTACTAACACTTACTGGTTGTTTTAAAAGTGAAATGAAAACTGCAGCCAGAGACTTCAAATACCAACCAAACCACCTCCTCACAAATGCTAAGAGAGAAAGAGCAGGAAATAGAAAAATAACCTGGTTCTTTGAAATTTCAAAATTAAATTTCTCTTCACAAGCATTCCCCAGAGTTATGCCAGAAATCTTCCATCTTGCAGAATCCCAGATGATATTGCAAGCCTGCTGCATGCAAAGACTTGGGGAACACTAGAACACATCAGAGGGACCATGGTCCAATGGGTGGGGCAGAGCCCCCATCACCATGAAGCAAAGGAGACAGGGAGATGGGCAAACCCGGGCCAAGAGGGCTGGAGTGCAAGGCTTCTAAGGCGGTGCAGCACTTCATCCTTTAGGATAGCAGTGTGGAGCAAACCAAGGTAGACAGGAAGGCATTTATGGCAAGGTGGTAAAAGTCACAGACTTCAGGAATCAGAGGAAACAGGACTTCATTCCCAGGTCCGTTGCTCCCTGACTATCCATCTGAATATGCTCCCTGAGCTCTCCTGGCCTCATTTTCTTCATCTGAAAAGTAGGGGTGAAGATTCCCACTGTAGTTGTAAGGAATGAATGAAATAATGTGTAGAACTGACAACTCAGCATACACTAAGGACATACCAGTGAGGATGACAGCTGTTAATGGCATCAGGAGTGGAGTGATGGGCAGGAAAAGCCACCGTGGCCAGCCAAACTCAAGAGCAGATGAGTACAAGGTGGATGCAGGACAAAGACATGGCAGGGGGTGGAGGGAGGGGAAGTCAGAGGATGGAGGCCACTGGACACCAGGCTGAGGCATCTGACCAGCTCTGGTTTCCTCTGTGGCCCACAACGTGTCATCTGACTCCTCATGACTTAGGGTTTTGTTTTTGTTTTTTTGCCTCTTTATATCTTCTCTCCCTAGAGAGGTTACTTCAGCTTCTTGAAGGCACAGGCTACATCTCCTCACTGTGGGCCCAGCGGAAGGCCAGGGCAGAGCAGAAACTCAGCGAGCATTTGCCTGCCTCTTCCAGTACTGGGTCACTTTTAGCAAATTCATTAACCTGTTAGTCAGCAGGTTCCTTTTCAGTAAAATCCAAATAAATAGCAATACCTGCCTTCTTTGTTTTGTGAAGATTAAATGAGATGATGCCAGTGGAGTGACAAGTTATCCGGGAAGAGCTCAAAGAAAATTACAATCAGAACCACACCTGCTGCCATCCTAGTAGGCAGTTTCATAGAAAACATGGCAGAATGTATTCTATGAATCCCAGTCTCAAAGTCCTAAGGATATCCTTAGGGTAAATCAGAGAGGACTGCACACTACCACCACAGAAATATTTTCTAGGCGATTTGTT